GTATTGTTACTGTTACTGTTATTGTTAGTGTTATTGTTACTGTTATTGTTACTGTTATTGTTACTGTTATTGTTATTGTTAGTTATTGTTATTGTTACTGTTATTGTTATTGTTGCTGTTATTGTTACTGTTATTGTTAATGTTATTGTTATTGTATTTATACCATGTATCATTATCATTATTAATTTATTATTATATATACATATATATAATAATATTAATAATAATAATAATAATAAATAATAATAATAATAATAATAATAATAATAATAATATAATAATAATAAATTAATAATAAATAATAATAATAATAATAATGCAATAGTGATAATGATGAAATAATAATGATAAAAATAATGATGATGATAAGAAAAATAATGGCAATAGTGATAATTACAGTAACAAATAATGATGATAAAGATAATGATGATAATAGAAATAATGATGATAATGATAATAGTTATGAGCTGATAATGACAATAACAATAATTATAGTGATAACAAAAACGACAATAATAACAATAACAGCAACAACAATAATGACGATGAAAACATTTTCAATAGTAATGATAATAATTATAGTAATGATAATGATAGTAATGATAATGTTAATGATAATATTGATAATCCGATGATGATGATTGATGATGATGATTATTGATGATTATTATTATTGATGATGATGAGATGATGATGATGATGAATGATGATGAATGATGATGATGATGATGATGATGATGATGATGATGATGGTAACAAAAATAGTAATATTTCAGTTTCTAAGTAACTGTTTCTGTTACAGTATCTATATATAGCTCTCTATCTCTCTCTCTTACTCTTACTCTTTTCTTACTCTTACTTTCTCTTACTCTTACTTACTCTTACTCTTACTTACTCTTACTCTTACTTTTTCTTACTCTTACTTACTCTTACTCTTACTTCTCTTACTCTTACTCTTACTCTTCTCTATCACTCTTACTTTCTCTACTCTTACTCTTACTTTCTTTACTCTTTCTCTTCCTCTTACTTTCTCTTACTCTTACTTTCTCTTATTCTTACTCTTACTTTCTCTTACTCTTACTCTTACTTTCTCTTACTCTTATTCTTACTTTCTCTTACTCTTACTCTTATTTCTCTTACTCTTACTTTCTCTTACTCTTACTCTTAACTTTCTCTTACTCTTACTCTTACTACTCTTCTTACTCTTACTTTCTCTACTACTCTTACTCTTACTTTCTCTTACTCTTACTCTTACTTTCTCTTACTCTACTACTTCTCTTACTCTTACTTTACTCTTACTTTCTCTTACTTACTTACTACTCTTACTTTCTCTTACTCTTACTCTTACTTTCTCTTCCTCTTACTCTTACTTTCTCTTACTCTTACTCTTACTTTCTCTTACTCTTACTCTTACTTTCTCTTACTCTTACTCTTACTTTCTCTACTCTTACTACTCTTACTACTTATTTACTCTTACTCTTACTTTCTCTTACTCTCACTCTTACTTTCTCTTACTCTTACTTTCTCTTACTCTTACTTTCTCTTACTCTTACTTTTTCTTACTCTTACTTTCTCTTACTCTTACTTTCTCTTTCTCTTTCTCTTACTCACTCTTACTCACTCTTACTCTTTCTCTCTTTCTCTCTTTCTCTCTCTCTCTCTCTCTCTCTTCACTTTTTTGCACTTTATTATATCTGTCCCACACAATGCATTATTGAATTTCTTTCTACAAATGACACACAAAGCAAATAATAATAATAAATAAATAAATAAAATAAGCAAAGCCTAATGGACAAGAAATTAATGGATATTAGAGAACATTTTAATATAACTAAACTAAAGGAGAAAGATAACAATACAGCGAGAATAAAACAAATGAAATAGAGAAGTAATGCTTGGAATTAATTAGAAATTACGAGCTTAAAATGAACATGAAAAGTACAATCAATAAATATTAATTAAATGGATTTATGAAACAGCTTAAAACAAATCAGTAAAGTAGTTTAATTAATAGAAGATAAATATTACATTCAAAGTTTTGATAAGTGACGCATTACTGTAAAAGATGTAAATACTGTACAATATAGATACAAATCATAAAAAAACGGAGAAAAATAATAAAATAAATAAGATAATAATAATAAAATGCGTGGCAATACCAATATCAATGATAAAGTTATGATCTTAACAATAAAAAACATATTAACATTATAAATAGATATTGTAATTATATGGTAACAAAAATCCTTATTATATAATAATTACTACCATCATTATTAATATTTTGTCATTATCATTAATAACTACTAGCAATGGATTGGGTGGGGGTGGGGGTGGGGCTGGCAAATAAAAACAGGGGCGTCATTTCAGCGTTTTCCACCTTCCTGGAAATTTATTTGAAAAAAAGAGCTATTCTAGGAGCATTTTTAAACTTTGACCCGAGCTATAAAGGTCTCATTCCGGGGAAAAATCTTGGGGGTGTTGCCCTTAAGGGGGGGGGGGGGGGGGAGCCAGAACATGAGGGGGATATCAGTCTCGAGGGGGGGTGTGCAATAGTCCCCTAGACCCCCCCAAGTGATGCCTCTGATAAAAAGGTTGGATAATTTGCACTTTGGATAATTTGATAACACAATATGGAGAAAATATTAATATAAATGGAATATTTGATTCAATCTTTGTTAAAACAATTTTTTTTCCCTTAATCTTTCATAAACTTCTTTGTGGGGTTTTAAATAAAGGGCTTCTTACCTAAATTACTTTATTAAAAGAAAAAATATACATGTGAACTCATATAACAATATATAAGTAGTACAAGAAATTACAATATAACAAGGCTTAATAAGAGTAATTTTTATTTCTTGGGTTTGGTAATCACATATATACAAAATAACCATAAAAAAAGGATTAAAAAACATCTGAAAAAGACATGCAAAATATTGGCACAGTCATTTTTTTAACTCATGAAAAAAAAAGAAACATAACAAGCAAGCAAGATGAAAATTTAAATAACCATAAAAATATTAAATTGTGCATCCAATAACTTAATGGACAAAGTAAATCACTCATTATATAAACAATATGTTAAGAGAATACAACAGGTTTGTGATAAGTAACGCCTTTTTCATCATACTACAACGGCTTTCGACCTTCAAAAATATATATTTCGATGAAGATTACTAATTACCAGGCTGAAACAGGGTCTTTACGATCAACAGTATTAGCATATTATCACAGTCTGTCCCACAATGGTTTAACTTGAGGGAAATGCATACTTTTTGCTGTTTAATGAATTGTGTATTTCAGTTCATAATGTTGCTTCATATTTTATAATATAATATATATATATATATATATATATATATATATATATATATATATATATATTATATATATATATATATATATATAATATATATATATTATATTATATAAAGAATAGCTGCATTAAATACAACTATAATGAGCAGTGCCTTCTACAAAGTGTGACAAAGAGTAGAAAACGATATAATGAAATGCCCACACACACTGTAGTTTATTTTTATTACAGTTATCTAGGTAGAAGTGTAATCTAATGTTAACATCACAATAGGTTTATCACCAACGTCTAAATGTCATCCTGTAAAAGAAGTTATTTTGCCATTATTATCATCACTTTCTTACTCGAGTATCGCCAAAAATACTTCTGGCATACTTTAAAAATGAATAATAATAATAATTAAAAAAATCAAAGAAAAATACAATAAAAAATAGTATTTCACACTTGTATCATAGGGGAAAAAGGGGAAATCTTTAGCAAACAGGTAATACAAAAACCTACAAAACTGCAACCTGTCTGTGTGAGCAACCATCTGAAAGCACAACATGACTTAATATCACCAGTTCTGAGAATGTTCGGTCGATGAGAATGCACCAAATGCTACGGGAATGTCTCAAGGAAAATTGGAAATGGTTTACGGCGCATACCTTGCACTGTCTCCTAGCACTGATAGTCTTTCCAGTTTAAAATTACTTTTAAAAATACCTGGGAAAAATTAGTCCTGAATTTTCCTTTTTTTCCTACTATACATGATTACAAAATAAAAATAAATGTAGTCATAACAATCCTTAAAAAAGAGGAGGAAGGAAAGACAACCATGCCACTGAAAAAAATGAATGATTGGTCCTTCCTTCCTTTATGCCCACAAAAACGCTCTTAATAACGACACGAGTTTAAAGCCCACTGTATAAAGAAAAATATACCTATCTACACATACTCTCATCACTGTGACCTTGTGTATCTGACTCCATATTATGTCTACAAGACACAACAGTAGTAGGCGAGGTAGAAGACATGTCTACAACGGTATAAAAGGCACCAAAGGTGAATTCTAAGCTACTGGCAATTCTTTAAATAATTCTCTGTAAGAGGATGTATAAATCACAAAAAAGAATTAACAATGTTCTCTTATGTAATCTTTTCTTTATGGTGGAATGAGTATCATACATTCAGTTTGTAAATATTAAAATATGTATTCCCTATCTATTGTCAAATCTGACTGTTCATTGTAACTGACTTTGTTCAATGGCATTTTTCATTTGTTCTGGTATACTATCTAGGTCTTTTTAAAAACGAGAGAGAGAAAAAAAAAAAATCAAAACCAATGATTCTTTTATCCTATGACTGATACAGCATCTAAATAAGCTAGTTAAAAAAATATATATCAATCTATTTATTAAACATCTTATTACATAGTTCGGTATTTTTCTTATTCATTACATATGTTTTACCGGGAACAGGAGATGTATTTTTCTTGTATTTACGCAACACATAATTGCTTCCAGGAATGCGCTCGAGCTTTCGTACGTTGTTCACAACCTCAAAGTTGGGTTGCACCTGGAATGAAGAGAAGAGTACAAATTTAGCATTAATTCAGTTTTCAAAGGTATACATCAGCCAGTGGCTCCCAAACTGGGGGCCATGTAACAGAATGTTGGGGGCCATAATCGGAGGATATGTATATATAAAACAAAAGGAGTTTTGCTAGAAGGCAGCCAGTGTAGGGAGCTTACAAGTTCAGTGCAGATTTGCGCAATGCCTTTCTGTCAGACCAATGAGTAAAACGTCCCTTACATTACCCTTTTTTTATCTGATTATACGTTCTTTGACATATAACAAGTCATTGAGATGTATTAGTGTAGTAAATAATTTAATCTTAACATAATTCTAAGGTTTAATTTTTTTTTTTTTTTTTATAATTTGAAACAGCTTTATGTAATAATGCCATTAATTGCTAGATCTTAGTATGGACACTTTTTATGTGCATTATGTTACTTCTTTAGTACCATTTCCAATATTATATGGGATTCAGCAGAGGCAAGTTACAAATTTCATTATTAATATGCGAGAAAAGAAAAAATAACAATGGAATCAAATAAAATTACATGCTTCCTAGAGTGTTTTCCTATTAAGTTAATGAATGTAGTAGGAACTGTAGAAAGTCACTATAGTTATGGGTTATGCTTGGTGGTGGGCTATGGACAAGAATCACGTATGAAAAATAGGTAACGACCAAAAAAAGTTTGGAAACCACTGACATAACCAATCCAAGAGCAACACAAAATCAAATATTAAAACTATACATCTATTTCATACCACTATGAAAATAATGATCATTACCCTACAACTCTGGACCTCACCAGACAACCTCAATGAAAAACCTACCATTTGTAAACACATAATCACTTCGTCATAGAACTCGAGGTCTGTGACGAAGTTCAGCTGTGTCTGTCCTCCCGAGTTAAACTCAATGAGAGTCTGCACGAAGGAGCTGTCTACTCTGGCTACGCCCTGGACAATCATAGCAGCCCTGCAAGCAATGCGGGTTTTTCACTTTAGTAAATATTTTTGATTTCAAGGCATAACAGTAAATAAACATTATTCTAAATAAATATTATAAATATTAAATAAATATTATAAAATAAATAAATAAAATATTAAATAAATATTATAAATATTAAATAAATATTATAAATATTAAATAAATATTATAAATATTAAATAAATATTATAAATATTAAATAAATATTATAAATATTAAATAAACATTATAAATATTAAATAAATATTATAAATATTAAATAAATATTATAAATATTAAATAAATATTATTCTCTGCATTTCTTTAATACTTAATAAGTAATGTTTATGACTTATGCATATCATGTAATACAACTTATGGAAAAGATTACTAAAAAGAAAAAAAGTAATATATATGTTGCTGTAAACAACATGCTCAAATTCCAGAATTCCTCATTCCCTATCCCCCAATTTAAAAATAAAATTCTAAATCATGAAAAAATAATGAAATAAAACACATGTAAAGTACCCATTTTCACTTCCTTCAGCTTTCTTATGAATGAGTATCATACATCACAGTAATAACAGTAATACAACATCAACAACTAACTCACCCAACTTCTACTAGACTGTGGGCATTTCTATTCCAGAGAGACACTTGTACTTGGCCAGAAAAGTCATACGATATGGCACCATTGAGGAGGAGTTCGGCATTAAAACCATTCTGTAGGGGGACAATCTGGAGGTGGTCTTGGAGTAACAAGGAGCCCTGAGAAGAAAATCAATAATTAGTGACCCTGTTAGGCTTTATGGAGCGGAAAATACATTACCTTTAAAATCTATGAAACCAAATGCATAAAAAATATCTTTACAGTAAAAGAACTATTACTACTTTATAAATGCCAATATCTGTTATTAAACAATCAATTAAAGTAGTCATGGAATCTTTACAGAAAGTTGGTATCTAAAATGCTGTGTCATTTTGTACTCACTTTTGTTAAATTACCTGCCCTTCATATTGCATCCATATACAAGAAGAAAAAATACATCATTGGATTTTAAGCATTTTTAAAAGTTTCTTATTTCAAGATTGATTTAAATTCTATCAATCTATCTTCCATCACATTTTAATGCCTATCCATAATAAATAGTATTATAAATCTCCAAAGAGATGTCAACTAACATCAAGCCACAGCTTTTATAAGAAAAACTTCATTTTGCAAGTTCTTTCCAAAGGTACTCCCCTTCTGTTTTAAAGTAAAAGAAAAAAGCACATGGCTGTACCTGGAGCGCAGTGGTTTTCTCTGACCCTGTGCCAGCCCATACATGTCCCATGAGCTCCCCTTGGCCAGTGAAGAACACAAATGGTCGAAGCTGTGTGTCCATCAAGGTCATCTCAATACCAGCATTGGCTTCCTCTCCATCATCGACTGCATCCTCTCCTCCAAAAACAGAAAGTCCACCTGCGAAAATGCCAATCTAAGGGAGAGAAAAAAGTAGGTTAGGATTGGTATTGAAAAAGAGTAGTAAGAACCAGCGTCTTCACTTGAAGTTACAAATGCTTAGATGCAAAATTTTCCTAGTCCCTTCTTTTGGTACAAAAATGGTAATTACATTATAAATGGATATGGATGTACCATAAGTATCTCTTCTAAACCTTGATGAAGATTTTTAATTTCCAAAACACTCAAGCATAAACTAGTAATTCAGATTCTCAGGCCAACTACTTACAGAAAGAAGCCTCATCTGGAGTCATCAGTATTCACAAAGACATCGACTGTAGACCTCTTCAGTAGTCCCCATTGATTCGAGCATGTTGCTGAAGGAGGAGTGGCACTTTTGTCCTCAGCAAGCATTCTTGAAAATGCCGATGACAATCCTCCTTGACCATGGATGTGGTAATTGTTAAAAGTTGAGGTCTTTAGCACAGTCTTCAGTAGCTGTAAGAACAAATGGAAATTTGAGAAAGTTAGCATGTCAATTCACATGAAAAGGGGGGTTAAAATAAATGTTCAAATATCACCTAATGAAAGAAAAAGAAAAGGAAAATACAATATATAAATACTGAAAAACATAAAAAAGACAACAAAACATGGAATCAAGACAAAACCTAACAACCCACCTTCTGCAAGTGTTCGTCTTTCTGGCTAAGTCGGAAACTCTCCCCAGCAAGAGGGTGTTCAGCTCTCTGGTTTCGTGCGAGGTCATGACATGGAACAGAGCCTTAAGGAATTCCTCACTGGGCTGATGCTGCAAGATGATGTCTGCTGCATGGCTCGAACGCTAGTGTCGTGCTGCCTATTTAGTTCCAAGAAGACTCGCTCTAGACTCTTCAGGATCTGTTTGGAGATAAGGGTCAGTGTTATTTCCCTTATAATATATTCTCCTGCAATATTCGGTTTCCTTTCTACTGAAATAATGTACTTTCTAAAATGCAACATCTCAACAACAGTTTAAAGCAGCAAAGAATGTTTTCACCCATTACCTTTTCTGTTATGTAACTACTAGGCATAGTTTGCAATGCTCTTGTTGCATATATTGCTGGTTTGCGTGCTTTGCCCTCTGCATACTTCAGGAGGGTCTCCATTGTATCTGCTTTCCTGAAGTTCTTTAAAGCACGGATGTAAATCAGCTGACAGTCTTCACTCTTGCAGTTTTCCAACTTACTTGTTATAAACTCCTGGACATCAGTAATAATCTGGAAGAGTATTTTAACCTGATATCAGTCACTGCATTGACAGTTTGTCTTGTTGATTAGACTCTTATGTTTGGAGAGAAGAGAAGAGGGAACCTGGATAATTTTCTAATACATAGCCCAAAAAGGTGATAATTCAAACTGACAACCAGATCCTGAATCAAATCTCACGTCAAACTAAACACATGAAATATGCCACAATATCATGACCTTTCTTAGGAAAACCTTTATGTTAGTGGATTTTGAGCTAGATATACCATTATTTCTAGATCAAAGTAATGCTTGATTTTGAAATCCTCTGAATATGGGAAAGAGGTTAAAACAAACTACAAGTATGAACACTTGGTTTTACACTCATTTTTACCATGATTATAATAGTATCCATCTTCTTTGATGGTGAGTAGTGAAGAACACTGTTACCAAGACTATTTTAAGCAGATAACTGAATATGCAAAATACAGTAGATGTTCAATTTTGTAAATTTTCTTTCCACTCCAGTTCCCCATTAATAGTACAGAAATTTCAGTTCTTTATGATAGTCCTCTCCATCTCTTCTACACATACCAACTTAACTCAGTATGCGCATATCATTGCATGTACAAATGGATAATTACTAATGAGAGATAGTAATTGTCATAAAAAAGATAACTTCCAGTTAATGAGCAATGAAGAACGAATAAATACAGAAATAAAAATTAACATTTACACTTACAGGCTTTTTGCAATTGTTGGAAACTTTGCAGAAAGTGTGGCTGACAGATGCTATAGTTAGGACAAGAGTCTCATACAGCTTGTCATTATTGAGACCCTTCTTTGCAAGTTTAATTAAATCTGAAAACAGAATAAAAACACACAATCAAGTATCACAGTTTGTTTACTTGTCTAACAAATTTTCTTTGTACTTATGCTATGATAAAAAAAGAAACACAGTTTTAAATTAAAAAGTTAACAGGTCTAAAAGTAACTTAGGAAGACACTCATGAATCACATACCAAGAAGAGTGAAAAAAGAGAAGAAAGAATAAATAAATGAATAAAAAAAAAAGACATCACATGTAAACTAATATTTCAATACTAGAATTAACAGGACTTCACAATTTGAAAATTTGAGTGGCGGTATCATTAACTCTCATCCACATCTTATAAAGAAGTATAAACCCTCCCAAGAACCACAACGCATGCCACTCACCTTGCAGGATGAACTCAGAAGGATGCGTCGCTAAGGAGAGACTCAACAGGTACCTCTCGGGGTTGTCAATCGGACCACCAAAGTTGAGCACGGACATGGCGGCCTTGTGCGAGGGAATCGTCTGTGCTGCTGCCAAGATGTCGAGGAGCTGTGGCCTGTGGTGGGGTGTATCAATATATATTCTTTTTCTGATTTTAAGTCATACTTTTGCAAATCTTAAAAGGCGTGATTTAATATTAAATGAATGAAGTAAATATTTCTTGACTTGGCAATAAATCTCTCTCCTCACATCTTATAAATATTCAATTCTTTTATTTCAATTATAACTAGAAGTATTCAGGGAGTGCATACTTCAGCCAAAACAATAAGGTTGCTGATGCAATAAAAATATATTCATATTTGAATAATAAACATTATGAAAATACAAATCAATAAATAAAGATTTAACACCCAAACATTTAAGTTGTCCCTATCTCAAAATGCTAATGAATCCTTAAAAAGATTCCTGGATTTGGCTCATGATCCGGATCAACACTAAAATTTATTGGCTTTGGTAAAATGTCATAAAATTTTGTTCATAACTTTTTAAGTTATCCTGCTAACCAATGAACACACAAACCAACACTACCAAAAATATAATGTCTTTGGTGAAGGTAACATCAATAATATCAATACTACTAATAATATACCTCAACCCAATCTGAGAAAACCAAACAACACATGACAATACAATAAAAAAAAGAATGGGAAAAGGCACGCGTACACATTCAATATTCATTCTCTCTCTGTGTGTCTCTCTTTTTCTAAATCTTCAGCAACACATATTAAAAAACTCACATAATCTTGGCATTCTTCTTATCCTTGAGTATCGCCTTGATGGTATCCAGGTCACTCTCACGCACTTTCCTTAGCAGCCTCACAAAAGCGATGGCCGAGCCTTGCGTGCCCAGGTTCTTGGGACTTAGAGTGTTGTAGAAGCTGCTGATCAATGCCTTCAACTGCAAGATGGAAAAAAATAATAATTATATATGAATCCTATATAAGGCAAGATGAGTTTAAATCAAAACAAAAATGGTAAGAAATTAAAGGTCTTATTAATAAAATTAACCAATTGTAGTAAATCATTGGATAAAGGTGATGTGGAATGCAGTTTTATTACTATCATTCTTAGTATTCTTACCATTATCACTGTCATCACTGACACTAGCAAAATCAGAATCATCATCATTATTACCATAATGACTATCAAAGTATTATTACTATTCCTTGAAGGAGGATTTGATCAAATGCCATTTTAATTCGGTTCACAGAAAGGATCTACCGATTTCCAATATTTCCTCAAGGTAACAAAAACAAGCCACTCACTAATTTCCAATATTTCCTCGAGGTAACAAAAACAAGCCACTCACCGATTTGCATGAAATACACTCCTTTGCCTCAGGATTAGTTGTGAGTTGCTCTGTGACGATCGATTTCTTCAACTTCTTGGCAATGGATCGTAATGCTTCGGCAGCTGTGTTTCCTGGGTATTTGGGGCTGTTAACCTTGCTGCGACCTAGAATAAGTCATTCATTAACAATTTTCTATATTCATATCTAACAATCAATCTATCAATATATAATGTGAAGAGTTGAAATAAAATATGTATCTTATCTCCTTATCTCACTTTATTTCTAGAGTTACTACTTAAAAGGCCCTGCTTTCTTTTGATACTTACAACAATTTGTAAAATCAGAATTAAATCCTTGAATAACTAGCATATGATGAAATCCAAGAACAAATCATATAAGCACACACACAGCTGAAAATTAATTCACAAACCTAACAATATAGAGAAGAGAGAAGAGAAGAGAAGAGAGGAGAGAGAGGGAGAGAGAGAAGAGAGAGAGAGGAGAGAGAGAGAGAGAGAGAGAGAGAGAGAGAGAGAGAGAGAGAGAGAGAGAGAGAGAGAGAGGAGAGAGAGAGAGAGAGAGAGAGAGAGAGAGAGAGAGAGAGAGACAGAGAGAGAGAGAGAGAGACAGAGAGAGAGAGACAGAGAGAGAGAGAGAGAGACAGAGAGAGAGAGAGAGGAGCAGAGAGAAGAGAGAAAGACAGAAGACAGAGAGACGAGAGACAGAGAGACAGAGAGACAGAGACAGAGAGAGAGAGACAGAGAGAGAGAGAGACAGAGAGAGAGAGACAGAGAGAGAAGAGAGAGAGACGAGAGAGAGAGAGAGAGGAGACAGAGAGAGAGAGAGAGACAGAGAGAGAGAGAGAGAGAGAGAGAGAGAGAGAGAGAGAGAGAGAGAGAGAGAGAGAGAGAGAGAGAGAGAGAGAGAGAGAGAGAGAGAGAGAGAGAGAGAGAGAGAGAGAGAGGAGAGAGAGAGAGAGAGAAAAGAGACGAGAAGATAAGAGAGAGAAATTATCAGCTTACTCTTGAGTTGGAGGTTCTGCTGCTTCATCATCAACCTTCTGCGCCTGACTGCTTCCGTGCCTCCACTCGCAGGAAGTGGGTCTCCATTGAGGTAGCTTTCTCGATGATTTTGTCATCCGGGTTTAGCACGTATGAAGCAGTCGCGTGACTGTCAATCACAGCACCGAGGACCTACAAAGGTTGGGGTGTGTTATTAGTATGGAGAAGGACACTGGTTAGGACAATGGTTATCATAACTGTCACAATAATTTTCATTTTCTTTCAATAAAATAAAATCTATCTCATCACTATATTTTAGAAAACACTGAAATAATAAAAAGACACTTTTCAAAATGGATAGAAATAAGACACAAAAGGAAAAAAACGTGGATAAAAAAGAGAGCAAGAGGACGGGGAGAGAAAATGACGAGGAGAAAGGAGAAGAAAGGCCCGACGTTGCTGTGATCCTGGCCGTTTACTTTGTCAATTGGGTTATATTACAAGCGACACTTCTCTAGGCTTGGTGGATCTAAGCTGGTTTCAAAATATCTTTTCTGGCATTAATATTACACGACATTATTCACAGACCAGTGGTTCTCAGACTTTCTATTACCATTACCTCAGCAGTATATTGATTAATCACCATTACAACGATCCCATTACTCTTCAGCTTATTGAAATGCCTAGTTTTTCAAGCATTTTATGTGTAAAAAATGAATCTAATAATAATATATGAGTACATTCACATTTGTATTATCAATCTATTCATCTATTTGGTCATTCACTTATTCCTTTACTTATCATCTTTATCTATCACTCTACACCGAAGAAGCAGTCTCATTATGCCGAGAAACTGCTTAATTACCGCCATAGGGGTAATTACTACCCATTTTGTGAACCGCTGTCAGACTACAGATGATTTGATTATTTGCGTAAGCTGGACAAGGAATGTTTTAGGTCTTGCTCCCCTAATCTGTCAGATAATGTGCCTCAGCTTGACCAATATCGCAATAATCTCTCAGTTTGTCTGGCCCTTATCTTTACATTAAGAAAAAGAATAAAAATAATAAATAAATGAATAAAATAAATAAATAAATAAATAAAAATAAAAGCCAAAAGCACAGGAAGAAAGCATCAAGAATCTCGGAACTTCCCCCCACATACCTTATTGGTCTGGTTGAAGAACTGTACGGGAATGACGTTTTTGCAATTCCGTTTCAACTTTGTGACGTGAGTCGGGTCAACCATGTTATAGGTCACTTCACATTTTCCCGGACGAGTCCATCTCTCTCTGCTTCACATTCTTTAGCTGATGCTGTTTGGATATGTGAAAAAAACAGGTCAAGGAGAACGAAAAAAAGAAAAAAAAAAAAAAAAAAAAGAAAAAAAAAGCACAAACATGCATTTCAATTCCAAGTTCATGTTAACTATTCAGCTTATCCTACTAGTATAGCATGGACTGTCTATTCCTTCTTTCCTCTGAATCTCTCTCTACTCATAAACAAGGTCCCATACAGCCCACCAGACCCACCCCAGCCCACCCAACTGCAACAGACCCAACCAGCCCACCAGACCCACCCCAAAACCACTTGACCCAAATCAACACCACTAGCTCATCCAACCCACCTGATCGAAACCGTCCCACCCAACCCACCCAGCCGATACCATCCCATCCAACCCACCCCAACCCCACCCGACCGTAACCATCCCACCCCAACCCACCTGACCATAACCATCCCACCCCAACCCCACCTGACGATACCATCCCACCCAACCCACCCACCTGCAACAGACTGGATAGACCCAAACGCCCACCAGACCCACGCCAACCCACTTGACCCCAACCAAAACCACTAACTGACCCAACCCCATCTGACCGAAACCAACCCACCCGACCGAAAAACCACCCACCCACCCACCCTAACCCACCCGTCGGAACCCCCACCCCGACCGAAACCAACCCACCCCAACCCCAACCGACCGAAACCATCCCACCCGACCGAAACAACCCCCCCCGACCGAAACCAACCCACCCCAACCCCACCAGACCGAAACCAACCCATCCGACCGAAACCAACCACCCAACCCCACCCGTGACCGAAATCATCCCACCCAACCCCACCGACTTGAAACATCCCACCACCAAACCCACTCCAACCCCCCACCCAACCCCATAACGAAAACCATCCCACCCAACCCACCCCACCCCCGAACAACCCCTCCAACCCTACCCCAACCCCAACCAACCCACCCACCCAAACCCAACCCCCCGACCGAAAACCAACCCACCCCACCAACGATACCATCCCACCAACCCCAACCCATCCCACTCCAGCCCACACCCACCCCTCCAACCCACCCCAACCCACCTGCAACAGACTGGAGATGCCCTTCATCACATTGAGCAGCGAAGCCTCCTCCCCTCGAAGTGGTGCACCTTCCCGACCTGCGCTGTTCCAATGCAGGAAGACCGGGTGCAGCGTGTACTGTTCCAGCTTGGAGGATTTGTGTGCGAAGTCCCCGGGGTCGGCCCCTGGCGGGACTTCACCGAGAGCTTGGGGCCACGATCTGCAGAAGGGAGGGGGGGGGTAAGGAAACGGTCATGATAATAGTAATAGTAATAGTAATACTAATAGTAATAGTAAAACTAATAGTAATAGTAAAACTAATAGTAATAGTAATACTAATAGTAATAGTAATACTAATAGTAATAGTAGTAGTAATTGTAATAGTAATAGTAATAGTAATTGTAATAGTAATACTAATACTTATAATAACCAAATTGGTAGAAATAACAATGATTGTAAAAATAGTAATAAAAGTACTAATACTCATACAAATAATAGTAATAATGCTACTACTAATAATAAAAAGGATACAAGCAAAATAGTGACATCTAAAAAAAAAGAAAGAAGAAAAAAACCTACAAATTAAAATAGTAAAAGTACTAATACTCATACAAATAATAGTAATAATGCTAACTACTACTACTAATAAAAGATTACAAGCAAAATAGTGAATCTAAAAAAAAAAAAAAAAAAAAAAAAAATACAAATTAATCAAAAATAAAAAAGCAAAAAACCGTCAATTCACCGTCAGCTGCAGGATCTGCTCGTGGGCGTTGCCAGGTGCTGCACACGGGGTGACCTCGGCCGAGAGCTCGACGCGGAAACCCACATCCTTCGCCGTGGACACCGGCAGCGCCTGGGGCTCGTTCAGCAGCACCGAGGTCTCGTAGACGTAGGTGTAGAGCGTCCCCACCTCGAACTGGCGGCTGTACGCTGTCGGGAGAGAAAAAAAAAGGTTTTCAGTGCCCTCCTCGTCTCGGAGCCTCCTCTGCCGAACCAGCCCTGGATCGGGACTCAAGGACTCAATCCACATGGCATCCACATGGCCCGATCGGGACTCAATCCACATGGACATCCATGGCCCTGGATCGGGGACTCAACCACATGGCCCTGGATCGGGACTCAATCCACATGGACATCCACATGGCCCTGGATCGGGACTCAATCCACATGGCCCTGGATCGGGACTCAATCCACATGGACATCCACATGGCCCTGGATCGGGACTCAATCCACATGGACATCCACATGGCCCTGGATCGGGACTCAATCCACATGGACATCCACATGGCCCTGGATCGGGACTCAATCCACA